AACTCAGCTATATACATGTTCCCGCCGTGTCAAATTTGACCTCAAGTGGTGTATCTAATCACCTCTTCCTGTGCCACGTGAGCCATGGAAGGTCGACAACGTTCAAGTCGAGTCAAACACCCTATGAATGCGAGTGGGTATTGCGATCACACACATACACTGATTGTCATACAGTGTGTCACTCCACGTGTGGATCATCAACTCTTCTATCGTCCCACTGTCCAATACATATTGATCAGTTCACCCTGCTCAGTGACTTCTGCAGCTGTGCTGACTGCTCACATAATATTGTCAGTATAACCAGTTTGTTGCTATGCCTGCAGGTTGTATCATCTGATCTGGATGTCACATACGATCCACGTTCTGATCTTCTGTCTCTGATGTCCAAAGATAGACACTCTATGACCCAATATTCACTGACAATCATCTCCTGATGACTGTTGAAGGCAATGTAATATGGATGGTCCAAGCCAGTCACAGTCCTCACTGGGTGGCCTAGTTGTCTGGGGTCAGAGTACACAGTCACAGTGAAGGGGCTGCCATTGATTTCTCTGTCGTTGACTTGAACATGGAGTTTGTGTTGACCTCGACTGACTGGTGTGTACGACACCTTGTATTGGGAAGGAGGTTCTCTAGACTGCGGCCATCTACTAGCGGGTGTGGCTACAGTGAGACTGGTGGGTGTGGCTTCAGGTTGATTTGTGGGTGTGGTTTTTGAAATGAGCTCAAGTTGTGCGGTGACATTCAGTGGAAGTGAGTATGGTCTACCACTAGAGTCAGTTAGTTGGACTAGGATGTGTGTTGGTTGGTTGACTGTGGCTGATGTTAGACCAAGTCCACTGACCTGACATGTGTAAGAGTGCTGGGACAGACAGAGAGCGAAGAGTGAATTAACACGTGAAAACTTGTGTTTGGCAAACTATAAGGCAATGTCTAACATGGCTATATATAGTTAACCCTCGCCTGTGCGCATGCACAGCGAGGGTTATTGAAGTTGGTCTCTCTGTGTGTGTGTGTGTGTGTTTGCATGGGGGAAGAGAGTAGGGATTGAGAGGCTTTTGTCCGTGTTGTCCCATGCATTGGCTTTTGAAAGCCTGCTACACGGCACAGCCCACCACCCATCCCAAACCACAACACCAGCAGACCTGTGTTTCTGTCTTGTTTTGTCTGTCATGCACCAGTCATCAGGGGCAGATCATCGTGTAGGTCACAGGGGTCGGTCCCTTTAATCTCCCGACCTGTACCACTGGGGCGGGCCCACTCCCACGTAACGGAGTCTGGTATGCGCAGTCCTGTCGGTTGTCTTGCTAAGCTATTAGTTTGTCATGCTATAATTCAGTTTGTCCGTTTTATTAGGGGTAGTATGGAGCACGGGAAGGAAGGTTACTACATCTACTGCCTTGTGTGGAAAAGATGAGACAAGATACACATACCTCATACCTGCCGGCATCTTCTTACAACAACCGGTGGAGTACCAATAATTGCGTGAGTGGCTGAGCATGCGCGTGGTTTTAATTACAGGGATGGGGCTCTGAGTGTGTGTGTGCGTGCGTGCGTGTGTGTCCGTCCGTCCGTCTGTCCACCGTTTTTCTCGGTAACCACGGCAACTCTATGGTGCGTGGGTGAAACGTGGACGTATTTATCAAGTAGAGGCCATGCCATAGTAAACTAAGATTCTGCGAGCGGAGAAGGCAGGGGAGCCTGGTGATTGAACGGACGGCTGCGAGGTGAGTGTGCGTCACATAGAGATCGCGCTAACGATCGCGCGACTAGATGCTAGATGCTGTGGCGCGTGTGGAGAGGATTTCTGCTCTGTGATGGTACAGTTGCGTACGATCGAGATGCCGGGAAGTGGAGAGAGTGAGAGCAGCACACGCCCCAGTGAATCCGTTCAGTGAAGGAGTCAGTAGCAAGAGCAGTCTCTGATCTTCTCTGAGACAGCCAACTATTGAACCTCCATGATCAACAGTGGCGAGGGTTATGCACTTTGAAGTGCCTCGGTGCGCATGCGCAGCGAGGGTTACAGTAGTTGTTCTGTATGTCGGTCCGTCTATGTCTGTCGCGCGAGTTCTAGCACGACAGGCTACGAGGGGCCAATGCGTGCTACAAAGGGTTGTGGATGACGAGAAGATTGATATTAATGTGGCGCTTTTCCCGAAAACGACTGCGTCCAGAGATCAGATATGGCGTGAAAACACGGGAAAAGTCCAACACGCGTCATCGCGCACGCGCCTCTCCGCGGCTAGCTATATAGCTATATAGTGCGCACGCATAATGTCAATTAATCGCCGGGCAGGCGGACCTTGTTGTATATGGCCTTCCTGTCAGTTTGATCTCTGTTCCTATGGATAAACGATAACATGCTGAGCAAGGTATGTTCGCAATGATAGCATAATAGTTCAGGGTGGCAGTTTGTGGTTGCGGCCTTGCCTTCCCATCTATAAAACGTCTGGCGAGAGCATTGAAACACAGAAGAGCAGCATAGATTGAATAAAGCAAATATGAGAGCCCCTGAAACTGTTGCTCTAACCGCTAATGCAACTAGCCTGTGTTACGGTGAAACTCGTGTTACTGGCTCCGTCGATGACGCATAGCTACGGCCCAGCATACAGCGATGCTACAACTCGCTAGTTTACCGCCGAGGGTTTGCACTTTAGTTCTTTCCATTTTTATAGGAATAGTGTAAGGACAATAGCAATCCTCTGATTAACCAATCAGATTTCAGAATTCACTATAAAGCAAGGCTTTAAAAAAAGAGAATTTCTATAGAACTACAAAAACACACACAAAACTCTGAGTTCCCTTCTCTAACTGGCTGCGGTTCTCATACCTTGTTGATGAGAGCTCCAGCTGATATCAGTTTCTCCACAATCTCTGTGTGACCTTTTTCAGCAGCTCTCCCCAGAGTAGATGAGAGATTATCAACCTTCACAAAGAAAAATTCAGTTAAACTGGAATCATTGTGAGTAAACCAGTCACTCACAAAGAGTGCTGTTAAATGGCTTAAATTCATAATAAAGGTAAGAATGCTACTTTTGTCACTGTTTACCCTCCATAGTCGACTTAAAAGAACATTATTTAGCAAGCTAATGCTAGAGTTACTGGCTACACGCAGAAACCTTCAGTTCGGTACATGTGTGAACTATTGCATGTGTGAGTTTAGAATTATGTTGGACATCACAATAGGGTGGCAACATTGCGCAGTATACTTACATTAGCATACTGAGGACTCTTATGATATAGTTAGATGCCGAGTCCAGGAAACTACGCGAATTAGAGAGCCGCGGGGGCCCTGAGCTGTCGGCGTTCGAGCACAGCGAGGACGCTACTAAGGGCTCCCAAGGCGCTCTAATGCGTGTAGTTTCCATGACGAGGCGTCTAACCAGTTTAGAGCTATGGTAACGCGTTCAAACGCGTTGGAGAAATGGCGACAGGCTTCGATATCTTCGGAGAGACTATCCGCGACTGGCTTGAAGAACCAGACAACGATGAGGCTGAGCCTGTGTCCCTTCTCCTTGCAGCGAGCGACGACTACGAGTCCTCACAAGACCCCGCCCAACAGCCAAGTTTACAGCCACTCCCACTCCCGCTTTGCCAACGCATGGCTAAACGCGCGTTGGAGAAATGGCGACATGCTTCGATATCTTCGGAGAGACGCGAACTGCTCTTGCCACTTTCAACTTCAGCCAGGACACAGAGTAGCTTAGTCTCAGCAAAAAATAATGACTACAGACTTTAAAGGAAGCTATGGCTAAGGGCTGTGGCCAGAAAGGAACAACAGTTTACGTGCTGACAGCCTGAGTTGATGTTTCAGAGGTTGAGGCTTATTGTGTGGCGTGTAGTGCTGGCTCCAACATGTCACTCAGGTTAAAGTTAATGCTACGCAAGCTCATCAAAATAATTGTTATTAGTATCGTAGCAGTGAGTCTTTATATAATTACCAATACTATTAAAATCTACTACGATCAGTAAATATGTACACATTCATTGACATATCCATCCACAAGTCCATTTAAGCGATCAACCATAGCCATGAACTATTCCCCATTCTCACAGAAGCTATATAGCAATAATATCAGTGGGGTCATGCACCAATGGTTGCATTATGACGTCATAAGCAGTCGTCATAGAAACATGTAGTTTGATGATGTGTGCTACTTTTAGCGAGTTTGAGGAGTGAAGAAGTAATTATAAAGAAAGGTTCCTGAGGTTTTTTGTTGTTGTGGTCATCATGGAAACGATGTAAAACACATGCGCACCAAGTTTCACCTCCATGCGTGCCACAGTTAGCAAGTTTGAGGAGTGAAGAAGTAATTTTAAAGGAGGCTTTTGCAAACAATATGCAGTCGTCAAGGAAACATAGTATCAAGTTTCATCTCTATGCGTGCTACCATTGGAAAGTTTGAGAAGTGAAGAAGTAAATTAGAAAAGTGCCTGAGGCTATTTGTTGTTATTTACAAACATATATTGTTGTGATTTTGATGTTGGCTATTATGTACAGTGTTTCGTTCACATAGCTCTTACCATTTGTGAGTTATACTAACACACGTGAACCCGTTAAAATGTATTGCCTGGGGCGATTTGTTGTCGTTTACAGTAAACAATGTTGTTTACAAAAACAAATAAGTATGACGAGTATCTTCGGGTGACGGATATCTACATTCTTAAAAATTTTTGTTACTATATGCTATTTCGTTTTTTGAGTTACGCGAGTTCAATCTGAGAAGATGAACAAAACTCCCTATCATAGCCCTTTACATCTATGATGCTAGGTACCATGCTCATCCCTATATACTAAGTACTACCATTCTTAGTGATAATTATGATTTGCTTGTTTACTTGCTATTGTGCCAAAACATTTAAGTGTCTCTGGCTCCACCCAGTGTTATAGTTGCGTGGTTAATCACTAATTGGAGTTAGCACTCTGTAGTAGTAAATCTGTTGGTATAAATTTTAGCCCCACGCTCCAGACCAAGTACCATAACCCTCTCTGTCCATGTGCACCAAGGGTTAATTAAACTCACTGTGCAGGTCAGATTAACATTCGCTCCATTCTTCAACAGAACGTCAACTGTCTGCTTGTGTCCATTCTGACAGGCCGCATAGAGTGGAGTAGCACCATTCTGAGTATAAGACAAAGTGTGACAGAGAGATATACAGGAGAAAATCAAATGTGACATATTCGTGCAGAGAGATATCAAGAGAGATCAGTCATAAAAACCCTCATACAAGAGAAATACAAGAACGTACATAACAAGACAAAGTATCGTTTGGTTGTCCCTCCATTTTGTCCTGTTCCTAACAGATTATGGTTGTGGCCATGCAAGTTCTGCATATACCTCGCAGTAGACCACTCTTCATAGTGTTGTTGGATGGTCCATCTTTTATTAATGTGAAAAAGGTGCTGTTGTTGCTTTTCTTGCACTCTAACGTATTGGTTATATATTAGGGCACAGGACCCACAGCTGGTCACTCAGCAACGATAGTGGTGAAAAAAAAGAGTCAGTTGTGAAGCCAAGAGCTCTGTTTGTTTCTCATAGCTACCCCACATGTATATTGAGTACCGTAACACTTGCTGCATATGTGCATAATGACAAGTGACAAGCACATGGTGACAGGTGGAGTAGTGAGTTGGTTGCTCATAGGTATATTGAGTACAGTAACCATTGCTGCATATGCGTGCAGAGGGATAAGGACACGTTAGGTACAGCCAGTCAAGAGGAGGCATCAAAGAGCGCACCCAGATCTGCTCATGGTGACAGGTAGAGCAGTGAGTTGGTGTAGCGAGACCAGTTCTGGCTCTCTGACTGACTGACCAAGGCAAGGAAACACTTAGAGATGTGTCCAACAGTAGCCGACTTCAGCTGAGCCCTCAAAATTATCATACACCTCTTTTATTATGCCCATCCCATTGTACGTGCGCCAACCCTCAGTGGGAGTCCTCGCAATTTTTGAACTGTCTGATGATATGCCTGACTGCGTTACTAAAACGCTTATCTGGTCAAAAGTGAGCTATAATGTCCACAACACAACGAAAGTAACGATGAGTGGTAGCTACCCTGTAGTCAACAACGCACCTTTGCCAGGCTCAGGTGGGTGACAACGAAAATAGACTAAAGTGCTATATGCTGGCAGGAAGATTTCAGAAAGGTAATGAGTCGCTTTTCATGAGGACATAGTTTAAGACAATAGCAATCCTCTGATTCACCATCATTGTCACCGCGGACTCACTTACGACAAGCAAAAAAAGAGACTCTCTTAGTGTAACACACACACTGATGTAATTTGTTGCCTGTTCACCCCGACCTCCACCACTCTGATCTGACCTTTATGAGACCCAGTTTTAAGGATCCGAGGTTAATTTTTGGAATAGCCCGCATAGAAGTGAGTGCTCTATAACTGCAGTCTCATACTTTGTCCTGGTATTTGATGAAGCTACAGCTGATATCATTTCTGCTTCTTCTCTCTCCACAATCTCTGTGTGAACTTTTCAGCAGCTCTCTCACTCCCCAGAGGAGATGAGAGAGGATCAACCTTCACAAAGAACATTCAGTCCACAGTATTATTGTTAGTAAACCGAGTCACTCACAAGAGTTCTTTAATGTCTTTTTTGGCCGTAGTAAAGGTGGAGCAATTGAAGGAGGGAAAAAACAGAGACGAATGCTTGCTCATTGCAGCAACAGAGGTACATATGTAGGTACAAGGAATTAGAGTTAGGTGTCAGTTAAAACTCTGTAGCATGTATTCGCTATAGAGTGAACCATAGGCTACTTCATGAGTAGCCAAGGACCAAAGGAAATATCGAGAGTCCTGTAGACTCTCTATATGGGACGACTCGGGGTGAAATCTCACGTGATCCGCGTACTAAAAACTCGGTGAGAATTTCACTTCCCTAGGCCTTCAAAACGTACTAGCAATAGTCAACGGGCCCATATCTACCTATATAATGTCCCCCAAGACCTTCATACCACCTGCTGTCGTCCACGCGAGAATTCGCTCATACGCGATTTTAAACGAATTTCGTTCATCAATCATCACAATCATCTCTCAGAGCGTCGGTAGAATTCTATATGGGATACGCGATGAAATCCACGTGATCCGCGTACAAAACGCCTCCAAAACTCAGCGAGAATGACTCACCATGTCTTCAAAAATCACTAGGCAATCGTCCTAGGGAGGCCAATACCTAGCTATACAATATGCCCCAGACTTCCTACTAGCCTTCGAGAGAATTCGCACTTACGGTTACGCTATGTTCGTGGATTTCTTGTCACATCATATTCCTTCCTCTCTTCGTCAACCCGCGATCTCCTTACACGGAAGCCGTTGAAGCGTTGATTTTCAATCAGAACGGTCTCCAAATTTTTCCGGAGGGGTGCCGCATAATCAAGCGATGATCGCTGGTTTCTTCTCTTGCCGCAAGTCACACTGTAGATGTTGGACTCTTCCACAGTAGTCAACTGGACACGCCATTTGGCTGTAACTTCAGCATCAGTGATCCGCATGGCCGAGGAGGGGGCGTTTTTTCTTTTCCTTCCCAATGCGGTTGCGCGCGCATTACCATAGTCTCGTGCGTGACGAGACTACTAAGCTGCAGGAACTCTTATTATCCTCCAGTGCCTTCTGTATCAGTATATAATACCCATTTTGTAACAACTGCTAGCCTTGGCGTTTGCTGTTGATTGTTGCAGAGGATCAATGCGCCCGTTTTACCGTGCCTTGCCAAGCGCCTTCATTGTTGTCCCCCATGTTATGCAGTCCGATTACTGAAGGCCTGCCTATGACCCACCGCATAAGTTCACAAACCTAATTGGCATCGTTGTTGAGACAACTACGCATACACCCTGCTTCAAGTAGGATCAGCCCCAATTAGCTCTGCTTTTCAACAGTATACTCTACACCACCGATTAACATCAGAGTAAGAAATTGTACCGCGAGAAGCCCGTAGAATCAAAGCACCGCACGCAGTTTGTGCGCACTAAGAAACAAACATTAGTAATGCATGCATGGGTTATGGTGTTCTGACTCATCAGCCATACACTCACATGTGTTGTATGAGCTCCGATAACCATGGTCTGCACTACTATCTTAGTGCGCATTTCCTGTGTACAATTGGTTTTCACTACACTTACACTACACCCACTCGAGACCACTCTCACTGGTTTAGTGTCATACCCTACTCGGTGCTGCGCACTATTGTAGTGTATGTCTACTAAACCGTCTCGTGGGCATCGTGTAACCTATATATTTCAGAGTGTATAAGGCATGAAAATGGTGAAACATGGAACAATCATTTCTCTTCAAAATGAAAGTTTTTATAGGATGGCTTGAAATCACCAGAAAAGGAAGAACAGGGGTCATTACACAGCAACGATGTACAAAAGTACATTATAAGCCACCCTATATCTTTGTGTTAGTTCACAAGTAATATTTGACAAAGATAATATAGGGATGGTGTCAATGTACGCTTTTTGCATCTTTGGCTGTGTAATTACCCTTGTTTCTTCCTTTTTGGTGCTTCAACGCCATCCCTATATCCCCTTTCATTTTGAAGAAATGATTTTTCCACCTGTCATAAATATTCTTTCATCTTCTTCTTCTTCTTCTCTTCTTCATACCCGGCTACTCTTACCGGAATGCACTTGAAGCTTTGATTTTTTCACAGAACGTCTCGAAATTTTCCGAGGTGTGCACGCATATCAGCGAGTCGTTTGTTTGTGCCGCAAGTTACTACGGTAGATCGTTGAGCTCTTCCTTTCGTTAGGTCACTGAACACGCCATTTTTCTGCTAACTCAGCGTCATGAGTCCGCTTTGAATGGGGGGTTTTTCAATGCGGTGTATCGTGCGTTTTGGTCTCGTAACCTTTTCCACGAAAGACAGACTTTCGCCTGCAGAGAAAACTACTACTCTCATCCTCCTGCCTTCTGTAAGTCAGTGTACCATTTCTAAACGGGCTAGCTTGCTGTTTGCTGTTTGATTTGCACGAGGAGCAACTTGCCAATTCTGCGCCGGTTACGCGTATATACCTTGCCCAGGCGCCTTCATTCTTTGTTCCCCAGGTTATAGCGTATCATTGTAGTCTGATTCCTGAAGTCCTGCCCAATGAAACACCACCATATGTGCCACAACCTAATCGCGTCCTTGTTGAGACCACTAAGCATACACCCTGCTTCAGTAAGAGCATGTCCATTAGCTTTTCTGCTTTCACAGTTATCTCTACAACATGCATGACATCAGAGTGACTAAAATGCAGTGTTGTCATAAGCTGAAAAAATAGTGGAAACAAGTGGAAAAATCATTTCTTCAAATGAAAGTGGATATAGGATGACTTGAAGCACCAGAAAAGGAAGAAACAAGGGTACACACCTAATATGCACAAAGCCACATGACACCATCCTATATCTTTGTTTTATTGTTCATGAGCAAATTTTTACAAAATACTCAAAAAAAAAAAAAAAATACAAATAAAAAGAAACAAAAAAACAATTAAAAACCAAAAAACAAAGGAAAAAAAACAAAAAAAAACAAAAACCACATAACAAACACAACACACCACACGAAACAAAAACCAAACTAAGCCACAAGATAAAATCGACCCCAACCACCCTCACCAAAGCCCCCCACACATCAGACCCTCACCACCACCTTGCCCGGCCGCCCTCAACCACTAACCAGGCCCCCATCACCCCCGCACGCCCCCCTCACGCCAAGCCCTCCACTACGCCCGGGCGCACCCCCCCTCCTCGGCCCGAACCCCTTCCACCCCCCGCCCGCCAGTTCCCCCAACCCCCACCCCCCCTCCCCCCCCCCCTCCCCCTTACCCCTACCCCCCCCACTCCCCCCCCCCCCCCCCCCCCCCCCCCCCCCCCCCCCCCCCCCCCCCCTTCACCCCATCCCCCCCCCCATCCTCCCCCCTCCTGCCCTCCTTTCCCCCCCTCCGTCCACCCCCCCCCTACCACCTTTCCCACCCCGCCCCTCTCCCCCCCCCCCCGCCCCCCCACCGCCGCCTCCACCCCCCCCTCCCCCCCCTCTCCCCCCCCTCCCAACCCCCCCCCCCCCCCCCCCCCCCTCCCCCCCCCCCCCCCCTCCCCCCCCCCTCTCCCCTCCCCC